CAGGATGGTCTTGAGCTCCTAGCCTCAAGCAATCCTCTAGCCTTGGCCTCCCAAAGTGCTAGGATTACAGGCATGAGCTGCCAATCCTGGCCAGCTATTTATTAGTCTATTTCTTTCTTTTTTTTTTTAAACAGAGTCTCACTCTGTTGCCCAGGCTGGAGTGCTGTGACATCAGCCTAGCTCACAGCAACCTCAAACTCCTGGGCTCAAGTGATCCTCCTGTCTCAGCTTCCCAAGTACCTGGGACGACAGGCATGTACCACCATGCTCGGCTAATTTTTTCTATATATTTTTAGTTGTCCAGTTAATTCCTCTCTATTTTTAGTAGAGACGGGGTCTCTCTCTTGCTCAGGCTGGTCTCGAACTCCTGAGCTCAAACAATCCTCCCGCCTCAGCCTCCCAGAGTGTTAGGATTACAGGCGTTAGCCACCATGCCTGGCCTATTAGTCTATTTCAAATGGAGTCAACTTCACATTTGAGGAATAGTCTAAAGTTAATTATGATATGTATTGAATGCATATGAAATGAAAGCTTATTATTCTTTACAGTTGTCTGAAACTTGAGAGTACTTGGCATTGCTATTAATATATCACTTGAGAAGACTGTTCAGATGGACAGGCAATATGCTATATCCGAATACTGGCCTGGTAAGTAGGAGACCTAGTTTCAAGTTCTAGCATTGTCATTTACTTGCATGCGCTTGATCAGGTTAATTTGCATTCGACAGTCTCAAAGGTGTCTTCACATTCAAAAGTTTTACGACTTTATGAGAGAGATATAAAACTAGAAAAAGTTTAAAACATTTTCTTCCTCAAAGGATCTTTTAATCTTTGTGGGGCTTTAGCTTTGCTCAACAAAGGGAAAAATATGAAAAAGTTCACTTCTGAAATTTTCTTAACCTTCACAAGTCCAAAATTGACATAAATATTACAATAGTTTGGCAAGTATAATCCCATAAATTACAGAATGAAAAAAATGTTTCTTCAAATCAACATATTTTAATGATACTTACCTGGAAGGTAAAGTCAAACATACATGAGATTTAAATATCACTTAGAGATAGCTAATTTTAAAATTTTTCTGATTTTTATACGGCTTTCCAAAATTTTCCTATTAATGAGAAATTATTAAAATAATGGCCAATTTTAAAT